AAAATTTTCTATTTGTTTATAATTAAATGATATATTAGTAAATTAAATTTAAAAAATATCCTAAATAATAATTTAAAACTTTTTATTTTTATAATTTAAATTATAAAAAATAAATTATTTACAATCTAAACTACATAATATTTTTTTAATAATTAAATTTAACCATCATCTCCATATGCACAACATCTCATTTTTCCCCTTTATTAAAAAATTTCCATTATGTATGCAATTTTGTTAATTTTGTTTGAAGGTTAAAAATGTAATTATGTACTCGATTCCGTTGCAGGGTTTAGTACAGTACTTCAATCTGGTAGAGGAATGCCTAACCATGATCCAATCACATCAGCAGCGACGCAACTTCACGTACGACTGGATAGTCCGGACCCGGGTAGATGGGTACTGGAACGCCCCGTTAACACCGGAAAATTTCATTCCGGGAAAATACGTGGTCCCCACCGGATCCAGCTACGGTGGACTGAACGACCGTTTCGGGATCGGTGACTTCAACACCTCCATAGCAGCACTCTCGCGGCTTTCTCTCATCCCCGAGCTTGACTCGGCCGGGTTCAGCCAACTCAATTCGGAATCCGCGCTCAAAGCTCAACTCATCACCCGAAAGGTGCAGTACGCCAGGAAACGATTGCCGTTCTGCATTGTGTCGGAGAGAAAGTATGTGTTTCCGCCTTCCCGTTTGGGAGTGCCCGTGGCGGCGTTAGCCAGCCCCGGACCGCTCAGCGGGGCGAAGTGCCGGCCGTGTACACCGGTGTGTCAGGGTCCGTGCGTGGCAGATGTGATGCTACCCCTTTTTACAGAGTGGGGCTGGACGTACTGGAGGAATGGGACTATTGAGCTCTGTGACGCTCACCGCGAGTGGGAGAAAGGATGGGAAAAGATTTTCGACGGAGTTGTTGGCGAGAAGCTTGCAGCGGAGAGGAGGCGGGTGAAAGATTTGAAGTTTGAGGAGTGCGTTGGCGATTTTGGAAAAATGAAGAGAAGAGCTTCCAGCTGGGAGTCCCCGCCGGTGGAGGAGATCTGTAGACTGGGCCTGGGGATGACGCAAATGTGATTTTGCAAACTTGGGTTTCATTTTCCAAAAGAAAAGGCATGACTAAAAATATATATACATATATTTTGTAAATGGTTTAATTCAAAAAATCATCTAGTTTAATTTCAATTTCATTTATTATCTTTAAATTGTTTTAATTTTGTCTATTATCTTTCACATTTATTTCAATTTCATCTAGCAGTTAAAGTTAACAGAAATTTTAATGAAAATTTTTTTAAACATTAGTACTCTAACTATGTTTCTTTTAATTTTTTAGTTCTTAAATTTATATTCACAATAAAAATAGTTTTTATTCTTATTTTGCTAAATTTGTTTTTCAGAAAGTTGTTTTACAGAGCAAATTGCTTTCAGCTCACTCTGTAAAATTATTTAAATACCCTTAATTCTATTTTTATATTATTTTTGTATAAACATTTAAATAATTTTATAAGACAAATTATACACAGTCTGTCTTATAAAACATGCTTACTCTTAAAATTTCTTATTTTGAACTTACTGAATTTCTCTATCTGAATTACAATCTATCTCTATAAACTATTTTTTGACTCATCATATTTTATTAAGATTTAAGTGTCACTTTTTTAAAACTCAAAGGACTACTCTTTCTTCGAACGTAACGGCAATCTAACATCCTCTTTGTACGGTAAACTAATTTGAAATATTTTTCAAAGTTTCTAGATCATTTAGAAATGAAACAAACTTTCTAGACTAAACTGAAATTAAACTGAAAGTTAGTAGATGATTTTTTGAATTAAGC